CCAGGTCTAGAAGAATACAACAGATTCAAGTGGAGTTGGATAGCAGAATTGAAATTCAAAATCAACCAAAGGACCTGCTCATATGTTGGTTAAGATGTGAGAAGAAAGTAAATTGTGTGGCACATGTTCTGTTGGACTGGTATGAAGGCCAAAACTTGAGTTTCAACAAGACAGCTGCTCTGCAGAGATCACTCATTCACATTCTGGAGATGGAGGGTTACCCTCACTTCTGTATGATGCCTGGGGTTGATTTCCTGCATGATCAGCCTTTGAGAAGGAGAACCTGGGATCCTGGTGGCTTGGCTTAATCTTTGTGGCAACACCTGATGATTGACTGGGAGGGATCCCAGCCTATGAGGGTGTATCTAGCAATGAAGAGGTGGTAGTTGCAGAGAGAGCAGGCTGAGCATGGGGCCTGGTTTGCAACTCTGAAGTCTGAAGCCATAAGCTGAAGTCTGCTGGGGCTTTTCAGAAGGCAAACAACATCTGAGATTGGCTACATTTGGCTCCACTGAGGCAAGTGGTGAAGGATGAGTCAGAAACTCAAAATATCCTCTTAAACCAGCAGAAAACCGCATTGTAAGTATGGTAACTTTTAAGGTTATGACATGGTTGGTGGTTTACTTGGTTTGCAGATTGGATGTTTGGTTTATCCTAAAAGCATTGCTTATCCTTTGGGATCGAATGGCTCCCCAATGCAAGTGCTTAGTACTAGTAGGGGGTGTCATCTTAAGGGGTAAGGGTGTTCTCAAGAAGTGCCCTTGGGTGGGAGAATGAGGGTTGTTATGCCATTAGGGGGTCATGGTCACTACTGGTGAGTTTCGAATGGGGGTTGGCATGAATAAGAAAGAAGGGCTGACTGCTGAATAAGAAAAAAAAAGGGAATAAGTGATGAATGAAAAAACATGAAAGAATTGGAAGGCAATAGCCTCTTGTATGAATGATTTCAAGCTTGGTGGTGGTTTGTATGGTGGAAACCGCACTATTGCCTAGCTCCTGAGGCAAAATAGGCCCCTTATGCAAGTGCCTTGGCATTAGTAAGGGGTGCTATCTTGGGAGTTAGGGGTAGTGGCCTCGATCCCATCATTGCTTAGCTTATGAGGTGCAATGGTCTCCTTGTGCAAGTGGTTTCATTAGCAAGGGGTACCATCTCATGGGCTAAGGGTGAGTCTCGCCGCCATAAGTGGGGGCACAAGTGGTCCCCCCGGTTAAAACACGGTTTGCCGTGCGGTGGGGATTGACCCCGCGCTTTTGGGGTGGGGGCTTGAGGTTCATTGGAGCAAACCATGAAGTGGCATTTATGACCCCTTATTGGCATGGGTGTGTTTGAATCTAAGGCATGAAGGGCACGGCTTGAGAGGGGATAAACCGGATAGACAATCAAGCAACCAAGCTACGGAGTGTGGAAGGAAAGAGAGTGGAAGGGGCCAACACTTTCAATGCGGATTTTTGGAGGATCAAGAGGATGAGTTGGGGTGATGACAAACCCCTAACCGGTTGCTTTGGTAAGGGGCTTGTGTAGTCTTATGCTTGTTAGCTTTTTTGCCTATGTTTGTAAGTCCCCTTGGGGTGGTTTTAGTGATGGCCGAATGGCCTTTGTATGTGGCTTAGCATTTGTGATGTTTGAGGCATATTGCCCTTGTAGTTTGTAAAGGCGAAATGCCATTTGTTAGTATTACGTGGTCACTTTTGGGCCATGTAGGGTTTTTTGATGATGATATACACATAGCTTTTATAAATAAAATAAAATTTAAAAAAAAAAAAAAAAAAAAAAAAAAAAAAAACCCTAAACCCTAAACCCCCAGTCATTTACCATCTTTTTTTCTCTCTCTACTTTCTCTCTCTAGACCAAACTCTCTCTAGGATTTTTAGGTACATTTCATTCCAACTAAATGTTCATTTGGTTTTAATTTTTTAAAACTCATATAGTTCATTAGAAAAAAAAAAACACCATACTTTGCTTTGCATGACTGCTCAGCCTGGAGTCCCGGCGGCACAACCGCCGGAGCCACCGCCGGCGCCGCCGTCCGGCGGTGGTCCGGCGACAGTTAGGTCGCCGGAAAAGACGAAGTCGGTGCATCTGGATCGCCTGGAAGAGGAGATGCCAAATCCATCCTTGGATCATCCATCGGAAGTGCTCTTGATAGCTAAATTGAATGATGAGAATCTGGAAAATAGTCGGAGGACCGATCCGATTGCGGGTGCGTCTACGACTAAAGAGGAGAAACCAGTGGCTGATTTTAGGAAATTTAAGGAACAGAAGCTTGGTTATGGAGTCCGATCGATCCTTGCGGAGAACTCGAATGCTCAAGGGCTGGACAATGAGATCTCGGAGTCGCAGGAGGGGGAGTCCGACTCTGCCTCGCCAAGTGTGGAAATTCTGAGACAGTGGAGGAACTTAATGGAATGCTATGGTTTGAATTTGGACATTCAAAAGGATGTTGAACAACTTCGCAAGTTGAATCGAGAAATAGAATACGTTGTAAAGCAATCAAAAGGAAAAGAGCTAGGATGCGACTCTGACTCTGTAACCTCAAGTGCGAATGGGACAGTTCCAATTCGTATAGGAAACGTAAAGATGCATATTGAGCAGGAGGTTATGGACGACCTGCGAAGGAAATCGGGCACCAATCCGCTAGCCCTGGTGGATCTCATTGCCGATCACCTCGTCCAGGATGTCACCATGGCTTTTGGAGTGGATGAGAGCACAGAAAAGCACTACGAAGGAGAAATGTGTGCCCTAGAGAAGGCGTTCTGCCAAAAATTGAAAGGAAAATTGGGGGAAATCAATCCCAAAGCGAGGAAGACAGTCTCATTTGCGGAGGCTACAATGCTGGAGGAACAATTGAAGCAATCGGAGATGGAAAACCTTGCTGGAAAGAGTGCTGCTCGACAGGAAAGGGACACAGGTAAAGCTTTTAATCTTGACACATATGGTGAGAATGAGTGCTCAGAACCTATTTGTAAAAATGCCTCTAAGGCTTTCTCAGCAAATATGGTTCCAAAAGCTAATGGTGTTAACTGCTCGAAAGCTGTTTGTGAAAAGGCTTCAATGGCCAATGAGAGTGAGAAAGCAGTTAACACCACTAGCTTGAACAAACCTGCCCTCCAATCTGGGGGCCTAGAACCTGTTTGTGAGAAGCTCACAAAGCCTGACCCTACAAACAAAGTTCCAGGCATCCCAGTATGGAAGAATGTCCAAAGCTTTGCTTCTCTTTTTACTGAACACTCCAATAAGAAGGCAGGAAGCATTTTGGATAGGATTCCCCAACCTGAGATTGGGGACTGGGAGACTGAAGTCCATAGGGGAATTCCAGCCATAAGGCTGGATGAGTCTGAAGTAAAACAGCTAAATGAGATTGGGAAATACTTGCTAATTGGGAAAAGCTCAAAGGGTAGGCCTCCTTTGGATGAAATTCGAAGATACTTTGATTCAAATTTCATCTTTAAGGGGACCTTGGTTATAGGTTGGATGGACTCTAGACACATAACTCTTTCATTCTCACATGAAGAGGACTGTGTCAAAATCCTGTTGAAAGATCAGATCTTGTTTAATGGAAAGTTCCCCATGAGGTTATTTAGATGGGCCCTGGGATTCTCTACTGAAAGAGAGACCAGTATGGCACCTGTTTGGGTGACATTGCCAATGTTAAGTGCTAATCTGTTCAACCTAGCTGTTTTGAAAAGAATTTGCAAACCCATAGGGAAGTTTCTGGCTGCTGACTATGCTACCACAAACTTCACTAGGCCTAGCTATGCTAGAGTAAAGCTGGAAATAGACCTCTTGAAACCTCCTGTGAGAGAAATTTTCATAGGGTTCTCAAGAAATCCTGGAGAGGAAGATGTTGGATATGTTCAAAAAATAGAATATGAGAGAATTCCACATTATTGTACTACATGCTTTAAGCAGGGACACCCTGCAGAAGTGTGCAGGTTTGGTGCTTCATTTAACAATGCAGGTACAGTAAGATCAGGGGCTGGCTTTCAAGAGAGGGGCAGAAGTGTGTCTAGACCTGGGTCTAGGAACAGAAGTGCAAGTGCAAATCAAAGGGGTGTAAACCCTAAGGCCAGAAGTCAGAGCAATGGGGAAAGAAATCCACAACATCAGGTTGCAGAACCTAGTGTTAATCAGGCCAAAAAAAACCTGTGCTTGCTCAGGTGGAGGCTGGGGAGACAACACAGAAGACCATGCCTGGGGTGACTCATCTCCAGGACCTGCCTGAGTCAAGTAGGCAGGCTGAGGAAAGGAAAGAACAAAGAGGGATAGTGGGGTTGAGGGAGGGAAAAGTCTCAGAAGAGAGAAACATAGATCTGGTAAATAATGTGCCAGGAAAAAGACTATCTATGGAAAAAAAGAATGATGGGAAAAGAAAAGAGGGGGTGAAAGGAACAAAGAGGGAGGGGGTGGTTAGCCACAATACCTTTCATTCTTTGAGAGATAAGGATGGGGAGTGTGATTTTGATATTGAAGAGGATGATCATGGACCTTACAATGACAAGAAAGATCCAGATTATGCTATATCTGAGGAGTTGAGTGAGGACATTGATGTGGAGGAGGGGGAGATAAGGAAAGGTGAAATTGAGGAGGAGAATTTGAGAGTGTTCAAGCAACTGAACCACTCTCCAGGTAGAAGGCTCACTAAGTCTGAAAAAAAGGCTTTTGCAAAAGGATATGCTGGCTCAGATTCTGGAAGGGGGAGTGATATGCTGGCTCAGATTCTGGAAAGGTGGTTAAATAGGCACTTGTCCAATGGGGGCAAGTCTGTTCTAATCAAGTCAGTTTTGCAGGCTGTTCCCACTCATGTCTTCTATGCAGTGCAACCTCCTAAGGCTGTGATCACAAACCTGGAGTTTATAATGGCAGATTTCTTCTGGGGGAAAGTAGATGGAAAGGCCAAATATCACTAGAGTTCTTGGACCAACCTGGCAAGGCCAATAGAAGAGGGTGGGGTGGGGTTCACAACCCTGCATGATGTTGTTGAAGCAACTGGTTCCAAGTTATGGTGGAGGTTCAGAACATGCAGGACTTTATGGGGAGATTTTCTGAAAGCCAAGTACTGCTCCAGGATGCACCCTGTGTGCAAAGCTGGCAATATGGGGAATCCCATGTATGGAAAAGGATGGTGGAAGCAAGGGAGAATATGGAAAAGGAAATTGAGTGGAGACTGGGCAAGGGGGAATTAAGTTTTTGGTGGGACAACTGGAATGGGAAGGGTGCCATTACTACAAGGCACAATATAAGGGGGAAAACAAAGTCAAAAGATCTTGTAAAGGACTTCTGGCTTGGTAACAGGTGGAAGGAGGAAAGTCTGCAGGAACCTGTAAGAAGAGACATTAGGGGATTGAGCTTGAGACAAAATGTAGAAGACACCCCAATTTGGCTGCCTGATAAGAGTTGTGGCTTCTCCCTTGCTTCAGCAAAGAAATTGGCCAGAGAGCAGAACACAGTTAGCTCAGCTAGGCTATTTTGGTATGCAAAGATTTGGCAGAAATATGTGCCCTGGAAGGCTTCCTTCCTTGCCTGGAGGGTCTTCAAGAGGAAACTTCCCACAGATGATAGGTTGAGGGCATTTGGATATCAACTGGCTTCAAGGTGCTACTATTGTGCTCAACCTGAAGCTGAAAGCTTGTCTCATGTGTTCTGTGAGGGGGAAACTGCCAGGAGGGTGTGGCAATACTTTGCTGGGTCCTTGGGGCTCTTGCTGCAAATCAGAAGTGTGAGCCAAATCTGCTATGACTGGTGGAGAAAGAGGCACAGGAACAGATTGGTTAAGTACATGGCTGATAGGCTCCCAGTCTTGATTCTCTTGGAGCTGTGGGCACACATGAACCAGTGCAAGCATGGGAATGAGAAGGTTTCAGGAAGCAGAATAATTTTTAAAGTTTCTAAAGGAATAGCAGATTGTGTCAAGAGGAAGTGGCCATCATGGGATCCATTCCCTCCAAATTGGATCTACATCCTGAGGAAGGCTCAAGGTTTTGGATGCACAAGGATTGTAAGAAGTGTTTTTTGGAATAAGCCACCTCTGGGTTGGCTCAAAATTAACCTTGTATGGAATAGGGAGGGCTGTGGGTTTATCATAAGGAACTCCCAGGGTGAGTTCATGCTGGCTGGAATTCATGCTGACCTGGGGCAGGCTCTAGGATCTTGCTGAGCTTGGTGTTTGCAGAGAGGCATAGGGCAGATACAAATTGAAACTGATCTTTCCCTGGGAAATATGGGAAGGGAACAGCCTGGGAACTTGATAATCTCCTGGAGAAAATGTGATATAAAGGTAAACTGCATTGCTCATTGTCTCTTAGACAAATGCAAAGACAAGCATATGACCTTTCTGAGAGTTGGGGCCCTTCCAGCTGGGTTCCTCAAGCTTTTAGGCCTGGAAGGCATGCCACACTTCCTCATCTTTCCAGGTGCTGATGTTCTGAGACCATTAAAGGGAAGGCAATGGGATCCTGGGATCTGAAGGACTTCTGTGGGGCTCCTGAAACCTGATGATTGGCTTGGAGGGATCCTGGCCTATGAGGGTGCATCTGATCTGGGCTGATTTTCTGGAAGACCAGAAGGCTGATGGAATAAGGCTCCTGATCACATAATGGAGTTGTCTGGTGCAGGAGTGGAGGGGCTTTTGGGGCTCCTTTCAAGAGAAGCAACTGCATTTGGATGGGGCCTGAAGCAGCAACCTGAAGCTGATTCTCTGAACCTGATGCTACAAGCTGAAGCTGGGAAGAGGCTGGGTAGTCCATCTCTGAATCCAAAGCTTATGAGTTGATCTCCTTATGTAGATTGGTGAGTATTGTTGTCTCTCTTGGTTCTTGGTCTGCTGGAAGGTTTACTTGGCTTGCAGGTCTGCTTGGCATTCCCTATAGGCTATGTCTTGAGGGTTTGTGCTGGTTTGGTGGTGATGATTGCCTTGAGAGGGCCATGCTATGCTAAGAGGTTGCAGGTCTCATGTGGGGGCTGGTTGGGTTTGGTTGGAAAGGAATGGCAGGAAAAGAATTGGGAAAGGCAATATGGAAGATTGGAAAAGATTGGGACAAAAAGATGGATAAACTGAAGAAATGGAAAGATTGGAAATGAATTGTTGAGGAAGGATGGGCAGTTTGGTGGAGCTCTTCCATTGCTTGTTCATGATGACATCCCATCGATGATTTTTGATGATTTTGACCCGCCTTGAACTCTTGTACTTTGTGTGGGCCCGTGTGCCTGTATTTTGGCCTGCGAGCCGCTTCTTTATGTTCCTTATTTATCTTTCATGTACTATTACTTCATGTTGGAAATGAAAAGAAAAATGAAAAAAAGATGAAAAAAGAAAGAGAAAAGAAAAAATGAAAATGAAAAGAAAAAAGAAAAGGGATAAGAGAAAACGAGAAAAGAAAGAAAAGAAATGAGGGAAAGAGTATGAGAGAAAGAATGAGTGGTAAAATGAGGAAATAGAAAAAGGAAAAGATAGAGTGATGTGAGCTAAAAACAGAGAGTGTGTGAGGTGTTCTTGGAAGCTATGAAGTCTTGCTTGTCGGGACCGAGTCTCAACGTAAGGTGTTGGCGGTACAACATGGCACCCTAGTCCGGGCTGAACGGTGCACCGGGCAGGACTAGTCAAATCCGTTGACCTGGTCAGGCTTGCTGCTGGCCAATAGTAGCCGAGTCCCTTCTGGACTCCAGGGGGGACGAGTCTTAATTTGGGGGGTTTGCTGTTTGTTCGCGTCAGCCTGTTAATGCTTATACACCCACCTTATGAGAAAGATTGAAATAGTTGGGGTCAAGGGAACAGGATGCTTGTTTGTTCTATCTTGTTTTCTATCTTTGCAGGTTGTTGTTTCTTTGGCCTCCGAGGCATTGACTGGTCTATAGGCTTCTTTGGTTCCGCCTTAGCAGGCATCCTTTAAGATAAACCAGGCCTCAACGTTGGTGCAAGCGGTAAGAAATTGCATCTTGGCCCAGGCTGAACGGTGGTCGGGTAGGGGTTTTTCAAATCCGTTGGCGGTAGTTGATGTTATCACATTTGTGCTTGTTTTTATGGTTATTTTGAATCATCACAGTAATTAAGCTCTTTAATTTTGCTTATTTAATACATGTTTTCCTTGCTATTATCATTTAATTATGGTTCGCACTTGTTTTGAATATTTTACGGTGTTTGTTAGTGTTTTTGAACCATTTTAGGTCAAAGATATGACCAAGGGGAGTTCAAGGATGAGTTTGGAGCAATTTTGGATGAGTTCGGGGCCCAGTGGACTCGACGCGTCGAGCCAAGGGTTCGACACGTCGAAATTTTCCAGTAGCTAATTAATTCGCGCACAGGAAGTCTCGACGCGTCGAGAAAATTCTCGACGCGTCGAATATGTGTCTGTTTCTGGGATAAAAACAGACGCCTAAAGTGGCGCGGATAAAAAAAACAAACGCCTAAAGTGGCGCGGATAAAAAAAAAAACAGACGCCTAAAGTGGCGCAGCTGGGCAAAATTCAATACAAGCGCGAGATTTCTTTTCCTAATATCAATTGCACGGACTTCAAGGCTCATATCTCCATATTAAAAGTTAGCAATTCAAGGAATCTTCCAAATTCTTAATATCATTAAAGACGACAATTTCTTTATTTAAATATAGGAATTAGAATTTGAGTCCAATACTCCAATTTGGTACAAGATTCCTATTTCATCTCAACTTTGTACCCACTATAAAATCCCTCCTTCCTCAACCCTAATACCAGACCGAACACGGAGAGATATTCAGAGATTCTTAGAGACAAGAAGGAGAGAAATCAAGAGCCACAAGTTGTCTTGGAAAGCAAGGAGGAAGCCAGGAAGATTTGGGAAAATCGTCTGGTTAATTCTTGTACTCTTTTGATGATTTGTAATTCTTTATTTATATTTGCTATGTATAATTTAGTCATGCTTGGCTAAATTCTTTAGAGATTCTTGGGTAAAAGTGTTTATGAACCTATGTGCCTGAGCTCTCAGTTTCTTTAATATATTATTATTTGGGTTTAATACTTGTGTTGCAATCGTGATAATATTGTTTGATGCTTGTAATTAATGGCCATAGTTACTAGCTTCATAGCCATGTTTGTGTCACCAATGGGAGTTGGGGCATAAATTAGGGTACACACAATTGCACCTAATGGTTGGACCTTGGGAAAGGGGAACTTATTAGGGGAAGTTTATTCTAGATTGTTGCCAATCGGGAGATGGTAGTAATTAGGAATAATTGAATGCTGATCTTCGATCTTAATGGGTGTTTAAGCCACGGGAGTGGAAATTCACTAGGAATAGAGATTACGGGAGTAATTCGATTCCACTTTGCATTCCCACACAAATCTTAATTCCAAACTAAATATTGCAAACGATAATTGGCACTAGGTGATTAAATACTTGAATCCCATGAATCTCAACTTCTCTCTAATTGTTTTCAAAATCCTGAACCTCTGTTTTATTTTATTTATTTTATGCCAATCAATCATCTAAGTAATTGTTAGGATTAACTCTAATGAATAAGTTAGTAACTAGTGCTTGATACAACCACTTCCCTGTGGATCGATAACTCGTACTCCGAGAATTATTTGTTTGCAAATATACTACGCATCAGTAGTCCAGGCTTGCTGCTGGCCCATAGTAGCTAATCCCGCTAGGGTTGGTTCTGGTTTGTTGCTGGTGCTGATCGGGGTTGAGCTATTGGCTGCTCTGTTTTCTTTTTATATCGGTCTGTGTGCCGAAGTTTTGGCCTGTGAGCTGCCTTGTACTACTTATGTTATTTCTGGACTTAGACCTGTGTGCCGATATTTACCTTTATATTTAGATGGGGAGGTGTGTATTATTGCTTTGTAACAGGGCAGTCAATAGCACCCCAGGAGATGTTGCGGTTGTGGTTGCAGCCCGGTCAGATTGCATTATAGTGATGGGACGCTATGGTGCAGCTGGCGGGGAAGTGCTATGGCGTGTGACACGCAATGTGGCTTTTCCCCTTGTCACCCATCTACACGTTTATATGATGGGTTGTGATGTTGACATACTATACTTGATGCTCATTCATCGAGCTGGCGTGCAGTCTACATACCACATACTACTTGGAAGCATTCTTTTATTAATTATTATTACTTAGCCTAGTATTTGGTCTAGTGTTAGTGTTATGCTAGCATGGGATTTGGGGCCGCGCATGTTATAGCCCCGGGGGCCTTCGTCTGTAATCTTTATTTACTCTTTTTAGTTTAGATTAGTTAGTAGGATTTAGGCCATGTGGGGTCTAAGTCCTTTCATACTTTGTATTGGCTTCGGCCTCTCTTTTGCTATTAATAAAGTATGACTTTACTTTAAAAAAAAAAAAAAAATCCCTAAACCCTAGGTGCAACAGAATCCAGATGATGATAGGGCACTCATTGACTATAAGGAGAGCGTTGCTCTTCTGCAAAGACAGGTTTCTATCGAAGAAGAATATTGGCAACAGAAGGCTCACATGGTGGCCGTTCAGGAGGGTGACAGGAACTCCAAGTTCTTTCACTCGATGGTAAAAGAGAGAAGAAGGAAACTCTATATTCATAAGGTAAAAGATGACACAGGACAATGGATTGAGGATAGACAGGGGATAGCACAAAATGCTGTCGCCTTTTTTGAAAGTCTATTCACTGCGGAGGCAGGTAACTTTGATTTGTCTAAACTTGACTGTGTACCGCGTCTGGTGACGGATAATGAGAATGCTAGCCTTATTGCTATCCCTGAGGAGGATGAGGTTAAAAATGTTGTGTTTGCCATGAATTCTGTTAGTGCTGCAGGCCCTGACGGGTTTTCTGGGGCATTCTATAAATCTTGTTGGGAAATTGTTAAGGGGGATGTGGTTAATATGGTCAGGAGTTACTTCCTTGGTAGGGAGTTCACCAGGTCCATTACTCACACCTCTATTGTGCTTTTGCCCAAAAAAGCAAGCCCGGAGACATTTGCTGACTATAGGCCAATTAGCTTGTGCAATTTTAGTAGTAAAATTGTCACTAAGTTAATGGTAGTCAGGTTGGCTCCTGTTCTCCCGAGATTGCTGTCTCCTCATCAAAGTGGTTTCGTCTCGGGGCGGTCAATCACTGATAATATTCTACTTGCTTCTGAGATGTGCCATGGTATTACGCTAGGAAACCAGGATGTAGTGCTGAAGCTAGACATGGCTAAGGCCTATGA